AAAAAATTCTTTTAAAAAAAAAAACAAAAAGAAGGAAAAAAAAAAAAAACACAACCAAAAAAAAATAATAAATTTTTTTTCAAAAAAAAAAAAAAAAAAAAAAAAAAAAAAGAAAATATATATATATATATCATTAATATATTGATTACCATCTTTAGTATTAAATTTTTGTGATGTAGATTTCCATTGTGCTAATGGATAAACAAGACTATCTAATGAATTACAATTTTTAATATAAATTTTTGAACCAGATAAAAATGATTGTTCAATTAACATAACAATTTCATGATTTGATCTATTTAATTAAATATATCGTATAATATATAAGAAAAAGAAAAAAATAAATAAATTCTTACTCATCATCAAAATTAATTGTTTGAACATTGTAATAATTTATCATCCATTGATCATATTGTCCAAATGGATCAATAATAAGTGGAGGATATTCAATTGAATTAACAATAATTGTATGATTTTCCATTTCTGATGATAAAACTCCATTACTTAACCATTCAAGATACATTTGATCACCCAATATAAATTCTACTAATGAAAATAACATTTGACGATATTCACTTCCACTTAACAATTTTTGTTCATCATTTATCTAAATTATTTTTGATAAAAACAATAAATAAAATTATATCTTTTTTTTGTTTTTTGTTTTGTTAAACTGAAATAAAAACATACTTCTATTTGATTATCTTCAATTGAATCTAATTGCCAATTAATAATTCTTCCTTTAACACTTGATATTTGATCAAAAACAATAGTCATTCCTCTATCTCTAATTGATTTAATCCAATGAACAGTTAACATAAGACGACGAAATCCATGTGTATATGGACCAAGATAAATTAAAAAAGCCGAAGCTATTGAACATGTACCAATTAATGTTGATTGACGTTCACTACTTGATTCAAATATTTTACTTGTTCGTTCTAATTCACGAGATAAAATCTAAGAAAAAATAAAAAAAAAATTTTCTTCTATTGTTTGTTTTTTAAATTAATTGACAAACTTCATTTAATTGTGATGCAGTTTTTAGTTGATTTTCTTTTATTGAAACTTTTTCTTCTTGATCTTTTTTATCAACTGTTGCTTCTTCAAAATTTTGTGATAAATCTTTTAAACGAGCTTCTAATGCCTAAATTTAAAAATCAATTTTTATTTTTATTTTATTTTTTAAATTAAAAAAAATCAACTGACTTGACTTTTATTATCTAATAATATTAATTTTTGATCTTGTTCTAATACATCTTGTTCAATTTCTCGACATTTTTTATGTAATGGTTTTACTCTTTTAAGTAATATTGAATGATATCTATAGTACACATTGATTTTAATTATTCAATTTAAATCAACAAACTTACTGTAAAACTCTCTTAACCCATTTATAAAGAGTAAAAATAGCATTATGATATGAAGCTTGATTAAGTGGTTTATCTTCAAGATGAACTTTATCAATAACTCCATTAATTAAATTAATTTGTTCTTCTGTTAAATTAACTTTATCAAATAATTGAGTTTCTTCAATAAATCTATCAAGATTAGCCATTTGTCTTTTAGCACCTTTTTGCCATGTTACATCAGCTGTTGGAGATTTTACTTTATTTAATTATAATAAAAAATAAAATAAATAAATAAATAAATGAAAAATCTTACAAATCATAATAACAGCAGCTAAAGTATCTTCAAGTGTTTGTTCAGGTTTAGTAATTGATCTTAATTCTTGTAAAGATTTCATATCAAGTGTTTCAATTAATTTTCTGGCATCAGTTGCAATAGCTAAACATTTATATAAATTTTTTTCTTGTGTTAATTCATATTCAGGTAATAATCTTTTTAATTGAACTGTTCGTCGTGTTTGACATTTATGAGCACGAATTTGTTGTTCAGCCATAACCATATCTTGACCAATTTGAACTAACATACGTTCGGTACTCTTAAAAAATTTATTTTATTCTTATATATAGAATTAATTTATTGTGTTTTAAATAAATACTTTAAGTCTTTCTTCAAGTACTGTTTTTTCATGCTGTAATTCTTTTTCTAATTTCGATGCTGTTTCATGTTGATATTGAATTTGTTCAAGAAGACGTTGAACATCACAATGATTTTCATAAACATTCAAAGATTTTTCATTGAATATTGTTACAAATCTTAATATGTTTTTTTATTATTAGAAAAAAAAAAGATATTTGTTTCTTATTTAAAATATAAATTACTTTTCAACAAATTTGGTAAATGTATGATTGTTAATATGTGGTAATTTTTGTGTATGATTTTCATTAGCAGTTCGTATTGATAAATGCATTGAAGCAAGAAGATGAGCAGTATTTTCACAACTACTTTTATCCAACCATTTAACATCTTTTTGTTTAAAAAATAAAATAATAAAATAAAATAAAATGAATAAATATAAAAACCTTTTAAATGATAAAGACTATTTTGTACAAGTGTTTGATTATCCCAATGTTGCCAATAAATTAATGTTATATTATTAAATATTGATGGATGATCAAGACATAATTTATTATTTATTTCATTCATTAATATTAATACACGAACATTTTCTTTAACATTTCTAAACATATTATTGTTAAATAAATAAATAATACGAAAAATTAATAACAACAATAAAAACGAAGAAGAAGAAGAAGAAGAAGAAGAAGAAGAAGAAGAAGATGTAAACAACAAGCAGATGAAACATACCTTAGAATTCTGAAATGGTTATTTAGTGCAGGGTGAACAATGAATATGATAAAAAAACAATAAAATAATATAAAAATCCTACCGAAGAAAAAATTCCCAAGCAACAGCTCGAGAAAAAGAAAGACCAGCTTGTTGAACTTGTGTTCGAACTGAATTTAAAACCGATGTTTCTTCTTCTAATGAAAATAAACTTGACATTTCTTCTGTGTTTAATAAATTAGTAACATGAATTATTAATTCAATATGTTCAAATTCTTCTTCAGTTATTAATAATATAATTTTTTCATTCTAAAAATAATATTTTGTTTTTTAAAATTTTCATTATTTAATTAAAAAATAGTTAAAAACAGACTCGAATTCCTGCATCAATATATGTTTGTGTTAATTTTTGTTTAATAAATGATTGATGACGATCATTTGATGTAATTAAATGACTTGTTTTAAATGAAACTAATTGATAATTAACAATTGATGAAAATAAATCAATTATTGATGGATCAATAACACCTTCAGCCATAATACAACAATGTCCATCAACTGTTTGAATTTGATGACATAAACGACATAATAATTCAATATAACACTAAAATTTAAATATTTTCATTATTTAATATTATTTATAAAAAATAAAAATACAAACTGGATAAAGTGGAAAATTTATTTTCGGTTTTTCTTTATTATATTCAATAATTGAATTTCTAATAAGTGTTTCAATTCGTTGATGATCTGTAACAAGATTATAATTATCTGTTAAATAATTTTGAGCATCTCGACTTAAATTTGCAACAACCATTCCTAAATCGATTTTATTAAAAATATAAAATAAAATAAAATAAAATAAAATAAAATAAAATAGTTAAACAGACCACTTTCTGTAAGTTGTAAATTCGAAAAAATTTGATTTTTAATAAATAAAGCTTGTTGTTCATTAATCATATTAGTAAAATATTTTTTAACAATAGTTTGATATAATTGTTGATATCTTTGTTGATCAATTTGATCAAAAAGACGTTTACCATAAATCCAATCTAATTCATGATGCCATAAATAAAGTAAATCATCAATTGAACATTCAGGTGTTAAACTAATACAAATATTTCTAAATAATTGTGTTAATTGTTTCATTGAAAAAACATAATGAATACGTTTATTTATAATATTAAACATTGATCTCATTCTATCATTTAATTCAACTGTTCCTTTAACTATTCTTTCAATAATTAAACGAATATATTCAAAACGTCTTGATGTTTGATTATTTAATTTATCTTTTAATCCAATTGTTGTTGTTGTTGTTGATGATGTTGTTGATCTATCAGTTGTTACTGTTGTTGTTGATTTATCTGTTGCTGTTGTTGTTATTGTTGATGATTTACCTGTTGATATACGTTGGGAATTTTCATTTGAATCTTTAATTATTAATTGAGATTCTCCAAAATCTCCAATAAAATGTCTATTAACTAATTTAGAATAAATCGATACTAAATCTGATTGATTTGGCATATCCATTTCTATAATATGAAAATGTTTTATTAAACGATTTAATTTTGATAAAGATTTATTTGAATTAATAGTAACAACATATGTTATATTATCAATATGTTGCCATGTTGAATTAAATGGAGAATAAAGACCATTTGAATCAATATGTTGACGTAATAATTCAACTAATGATTGACCATTGGATCGATCAATCTAATTTTTTTTTTTTTAAAGAAAAAAAATAAAAAAAATAAAAAAAAAACAAAAAAGAAACCTTAGCAAGATTAAGATCATCAACAAAACAAAACATTTTTCGATTTCCTTTCGTTGTGTAATAAGATGAATGTTTCCATTGAAGTTGTTCTTCGATTTTATCATAAACAGTTAAACCATCTGTTTCTCTAAATAAATAATTCAATATATATATATAAATAGTATTTAATAAAATGTAAAACAAACGCATTGCAATTAATTGTTATATAAAAAACATCACTTATATCTCCACCACATGTTGCTTTTAGACGATCACTTATTAAAGAACTTTTTCCAACTCCTCGTTCTCCAATTAATAAAACTGGATGATCATTTTCACTCATTAAACTAACCAAATGTGATAATGCCTAAACATAATAAACAAATAATCAATATTTAAGTTTTTAGTTTTTTTGATAAACAAAAAATGAAAACAAAAATAATTTAAAAACCATTGTATATGGTGTATGAACAAATATATTATTTGGAATTCCTTGATGTGCTAATGGATTAAATGCTGGTATTGTATCAGACCAAAGAACAAATTGATGAGAATCAATATCATACATCCAATCAGTTATCTTTTAAATAAATAAATATTTTTAAAATAAAAAAAAAAAAAAAAAAAAAACAGAAAAAGAAATTAGGGAAAAAAAAAAAAAAAAAAAAAAAAAAAAAAAAAAAGAAAGAAGTGGACGGATTTTGAAATAGTAATAAGAAAACACATATATATATATTTATATACTTGTGCAATTACAAATAACCTACTCATTGAAATCACTCATGTCATCTAGACTATCATTGTCATCATGATCCTCTTGATCAGATAAATTATTATTATTATTACCATTTGTTGATAATGGTGTTTCACATTGAAATTTTTGTAATGCAAGTTCTATACGACGTTTATCAATAGTAATACGTTTATTTTCGCATTCAATTGTTGCTAATTTAATATCAATATTTTTCTTTTCAATTAATAATACTTGTTTATCATTAAGAAGTTTTTGACTTGTTAATTCAAGTGTACGTTTACGTTTGATTAATGATTCAACACGAAGTGAATTTTGTTGTTGTCCATAGGATTTATTTGTATTATTAAGAGATTGAGGATTAACTGATGATTTTAATAATTTACGTCGTTTATCTAATGTACGTTTTGATACTTGACCATTACTTGATATTGCTATTGTTGATGTATTTGTGTGGTGTGATGGAATATTTGATGTTATTTGAAAATTTGTTATTGGACTTCTTGAATTGTCATCATTACCAAGTAGACTAGCACTTTCATCACCAGGAGAATCTAATTGACCACTAACACCATTAGCAAGATCTGATGATGGAGAATCAACTTTATCTGATGACTTAAAAAAAATGAATAAATTTTATTAAATTTATAAGATAACAATTTTTTGTATTAATAACTAACCTGTTCATTAAATGATATATCATGATTAGTATTATTTATATTTGATTGTTGTTGTTGTTGTAATATTTGCTGATGTTGTAAAACACCATGAGGAAAATGAGAAGATATTGATGATGGACGACAGATAGTTAAAATACGAGTATATAAATTTAATTGTTTATTTGACATTGATGTTGTTGAACCTGCTGCTTGTGCTGCACGACTAGCAGCTACTTCACGTTTAGCTTCACTTTGTAATTTTTTCCATTTTCGTCGTACATCATCAACAGTTCGTTCAACTTGTGGATATGTCGCATTGAGATTATCGGTTATTTGTTTCCATATAGCTTGTTTTTGTGCAATAACACTTTTTGATGCTTCACGAGAATGTAATAATTCTTTATATGTATCATATTGATCGATTATATTCAAAACTTCATGTTCAGTAAAATTTGGTTTACGACGACGACCAACATGAAATGAATCAATCGAAGAATAATCTGTCGGTTGATCGTTCATAACTTTATATATGTATATATATATATATATATCTGTTTTACTGGTTGAAAATAAAGAAAAAAAAATAATAGTGAAAGAAAATGGCTCGATCTAAAATAGAAAGAAAAAAGGTTGTCTTGAATGACGAGTCACTAAAAAATGTGACGAAGAAGTTATAGTAGGAGAGTCTAAACTAAATACGACACACTGATGCATAGGGTAGGTATACGCGACGTGTGTTGTTGCCAAGCACCGATGTTCTCTCCTTCATGCTTTTTCTGTCTTCACATTGTGCAAGTGACTGAAAGCGAGAGTATGAGTGAGAGTGAGAGCTATACTTTTGGAGTGTCCCACCGCCATCATGTAGTCATAGTTTTATTCATATTATTATTTCTCTTCTTCCTTTCTTCTTTTTCTTCTTCTTTTTATTCTTTAACGTCTCTCTGTTTTATGCTTGCTTCTCCTTAATCCAGATATATATATATATATATGCAAAACGCATTTTCGTCTTCCTTCGTGTGCACCGTCGTCGACACCGTCTTTTTTTTTTCAAAAAAAGAACTGAGAAAGTAAGAGAAAATTCTGTAATAAGTAATGTCTAGTACCACCATCACTCTTACCTTCCGTACAACAATAACAAATGAGTAAAAAAAACAACAGAAGATGACGAGAAAGGCGGTGTCGACGAGGGAAAAAAATGGTTATCTACACGATTAGAACAGGAAGTGATCACTTGCAGGCAACAAAGTAGAGTCTTGCTCAGAAGATCATTGAAGTAAGCCATGTAGAATAAGCATCAGCGATACTTTTTCCTTCTTTTACTACGTCTCTCCCTTTTTCTTTATACTTCACCTTGCTTGCGATAAACACAAGAGTCTAGAATTTCTCGGTGCTTTACTGCCGTCGAGAGGCAACGAACGAGCGTCTTTTTTATTTATTTTAATCAGTCAGACCTTCGTTCTATAGAAGCAGAATGGATGGGGAATGTGTTTTTTGACACATACATTGCTGATTTCTTTTCTTTTACCGTTGCGTCGTTTGTACCCTAGCAAGGCAAAAGATTGTTTGCAGCAACACTCGGGTGTCTATGTCTTCTATTCTCTTTTTTCTTAGGTGTACATTGCGATCACTTTACTCTTTTCTCAATTCCACTCACCATCAGTTCTGCATATGTGAGTGTGGTGTTTGTTGACAATGGGTAAAATATTATGTAGTTGTGCTTGTCTACGTCATGACATTGATTCTTTGGAAAGAATCGACTCTCTTTTTATGTATATATATATATATATGTGCTCGTCGTTTTTATTTTAACTTGCTTTTCGATTCGAGCAACCGCGCGTGTAACACTGTGCTTGCTTATTCATGCGTAATGACTAGTCGTACTATGACAAGTTGCATGACCAGTCAAATGATGGGACATATACATGCTGTATATATTCATAGATATATCTACGCACTAACTTCTGTTTTTCTTTTTCTTTTCGCTGAATCCCTATCGAAGTCATCATCACCATCATCATCCTTTTTCTTCTCTCTCCCTCATCCTCACCTCTTTTTTTTTTTTTTTTTTTTTTTTTTTATGAGGGGTAAAACAATCATAAAGACGGTCGTGTTTGTCGTTGGACTACCTTGGCAACAAGCAAATGGGTAGGTTTATCTAAATAAGAATTATGATATACTATCGTCATCGTCGACGACATAAGGAAAGAACGAACTACTCTTAGTACAAGTACAGAATGAGCAAAAATGCTCTTCCAATTTTCTTCTCTAATTTATACAAGACATGTAAATGCAGAAAAGAAATAAGTAGTTCTGATCGTTCGAGCGATAAAATGTACGTCATGTGTGTGTTATTCACTTGACTCTTATTAATTTGTGTTTTCACATAAAGGATACATCTGCACATGTGCATATGCTAAAATTATGAAAAATAAATATAACTTTTACAATTGATTGAATCATAAATTCTAAAGAAGAAAATACACATTTAAGTGTATAATTTTCAGATTTCTTTTTTCGTAAGTTAAACTTTTCTTTTGATGATTTATTTCATTGAAAAACAAAACAAAAGAGTCAATTTATTTTGATACCTATTAATATAAGACACTTTTTTTTGCATAACATAAATATTTTTCCAGTCAACCTACTTATATAAATATTTACGAATTGCAATAAATATTATTAACGGGATACTTTTGAGATTTTTGTGTTGGTTTTTGTTATGTCTTTGAGTAAATGATATTCTGTCTGGTGAATAGAATTTGATACATTATTTGAAAAGATATAAGTAGAATCTATTTGTTTGCTTGTTCAAATCACGCTCAATGAAGGAATTATATGTAATTTATATTCTTTAAAAAGAATCTCAAATCTTTGTTTTTTTTTCATGACAATATTTATTCTGCTGTTGTAACGATCTTTCAATTCTGAAAGATTCATAAGATTGAATTTTCATAGAATCAATATTTTATTTAGATTTTTTCTTTCGAAGAGACGATTTAAAACTGCCAGAAAAGCGAACATCTAGTTTTGAAAGTACAGATACATAATATATAGCACAATAACCACAAACTATGGGAGAATCAAATCAATATTTCAGAAGGATACTATTCCCTCGATCTTCAAGCTAGATAAAACATTGCATAAAAGCTTATTTATTATTTTAATAACTTCAATATGATTCGTTGTTGTTTTTTTTTTCATTATAAAAGCTTTTAAAGAATTACGATTTTCATTTAAGTATGATATTCCATAAGACGTTTTGTTAAATTTGTTGTTGATTCAAGATTTCTTAGATAATTACGCATTAAATTATAATTATCCGTATTTTTATTTGCATTTAAATATTGAGAAATATCATACCATTGATGAAATCTAATAGAACAAAAAGAAAAACAACAACAAGAAAAAAAGTTATTCTTCTTACTGCCCAGCATCAATTTGATTTAAACGATGATATTCAAGATATTTTTTTCTTTGTTGTTGTTTATAATATGTATAAATATTAATAAATAGAATAAAAAATACAAGAAATATGAAAAGGGTTATTAAAAAAATAAAACCACGATATGAATTATGAATATTATGTATTGGTCCGATTTCAATTAATACAAATGTTTCAAGATCACAAAAGCTAAAGAAAAAAATTTTCTAATAGAAAAAGAAAAAACATTGTATTTTACTCTATAATACCTAAATTTATTATTATAAGCAATTATATGAAGAATAAATTTTAAATAATCATCTGATGCTTGATTTATAGTTTCATTAATATGTATAGGAAATGATCCATTGAAAAAAAGACACGAATTAGTTGATATTGAAAATGTATTTAATAATGTTTGATAGAATGTTCGTCGTTCATAAGGAATCTAAATATCATAGAATTTCATATAAAACAATAAGCAACATAAATTATAAAAATCTGTCCTGCGGGTAGTTTTTAGATTAGAAAGATTAAAATATAAAGTTCTAAAATATTAATTAATTCTGAAACGTATTAATAGAGACTGTGTCATAAGCTGCAAGGCTGACATGAGCAAGGAGGATAATCTTGTCTTATTCAACTGTGATAGACATATTTCATGAGATTGCTTGTTCAGTAGATTACCATGTAAATACTTCTATGATTAATCTCAGTTATAATAAAATCATCGAAAACAAAGTCGATGATGTATAAAAACTTATCTTTAAAAAAATGTGCTTCTACATATAACTAAGAATTATTTTAAAAAGAACAATTTTCAAAAATAATCAATAAAATTGAACAGATGTTAAAAGTTTTATTTCAATTAACTTAGAAATAAAAAAGACAAAAGAAAAGTTTTTATTTTGTGTATTATTAGTCATAACATCGTCCGTCATATCAATGAATACAGATTGAGTTAGGAAAGTCTCTAATAACATCATCCATCTTTTATTTCGTTTCTCAAAATGAGAACATTCTTCAAAATATGTTTTTCTGCATTTCTAAACACTGTGAAACGTTTTGATTTGTCTTACTACTTTTTTGTGACACATTACTCTATACGTTTTCCGTTTCAGGGAATAAGAACGTAAGACGACTTCCCGTTTCCAGGAACGAGAAACACATATACATGTCGGTAAATGGTAACACTAACCCTGCTAGCTATACTAGTGTGTATTTTACACTTTAATAGGTAGGACTGACGTAAAAGTCAAATGCAAACGCTCCAACAAAATAAACTCTACAGGTGAATGACACAATTTCTAATTGACTTTTCATAGTAATGTAGATATGTTCACGACTATAGTCTCAATCAATAATATATTTCTTTGATAGTTTTTTTTTTACCAATTAAACTTCTTTGTGCTCTATTGGAATAAATTCAATGTGTTGTAAGAAACTTAATCAACATATATGATTGTTTGGTCATTGATATTTTGAAGTTTTACTTCAGTCTAACCTGTTTTAATGTTATACCTAACATCACTGTGTTTAGAAGTGTTAGCATTTATGTTCTTAGAAATGCATCTACACAAGAATGACAATGTATTCCACATCTACATTCCTGGGAATACAGAAAGACATCGAGGGATGTACTGTAGAAACATATAGACCATTATTCAAACATTTTACAACGTCGATAAATGCATTCACAGTTTTTAAGAATCAAAATTACCGGAAAGACTATGCCGACAGCGCTACTTTCGAAAAAGTCTAGACTTCTGCTCAGAAATCATTAATTTTGTGAATATAATAATAGTTTAATGCAAAATCAAATTTATATCTGGAATTAGTTCATGGAGCTACATTGAGTAATATTCTATCCTCAAAATTATTCGCATAAGTAAAGAGATACACATTGGTAGCATCAGCATACACACCGAACGTGATAATAAAAAAATTCTGACTTTGTGACAAAAATGCTTTTAATTAGGTTACTAAGTGCAATGTTTTTGCTTGCAATACTCAAAAATCACGAATACAAACATCAGTGATTGACAGAGAAAAAAACAGAATAATTTTTCTCATCGTGTGAGTCTATTATATCAACGCTTGTTGAATCGTTTAACTGCAATTCTCGAATTTCTGCAGATATCTCCTGATTTGTGTAAATCTTTTTTCACTGAAAACCAATTGAAAAATTAACACAATTAGCTGCAATGGATAGAGAATTTTGTAATCTATACTTCCACGATTTTATCAAGATTCTTCGTACTATTGCGCATCTGTATATGAAACAGTCATTTAGGTGCTGTAGAGTTTAGAATTTGATTCTGAACAAAATAATTTGACTGTTAAGTTGAAGAGTACAATCGATTAGGTTGTAGCGAATTAAAAAAGAAAAAATTACATAATCCTGTCAGACAAAGGTTTTTTTGCACTTTTTACTTCAAGGTATTTTTTCACAAGTATATTTTCTAAAATTTTTGAAATTTATATCAAAAGATTGAGAATTTTAGCAATATCTTGGTTAAAAAATTTATATTATTTCTCATTTTTTTTTTAGACTATCGTGGTTGAATGATTATATTTTAATATTATAAATTTTGCTCCAACAACAAAAACTTGAAAAAACAAACGCAATAGTTTTGCCGAATGAAAAATTCTTCATAGAGTAATCTTGTGAAAGGATATCGGAATGACCGAAAAATAAAAGTGATTTTGTCCTATGTAATCTGCATCACCCAATTTATGATTTGTAGTAAATTCTTTTCAATTGTTGGATAAATGAATTTTAAAAAATGATCCCATTATTAACAATTGTTGTTTTGTCTTTCAATCAAATAGCATACGAAATCTAAATGCTCACTAATCAGACTCGTTGATAGATTTCTTTCTTAACCGTTTTTTTTTGCCTATGGATTAAACTAGTGATCCCTAAAATACATGGAAAACTGTTGAATCAAACCCATATATGCTAATCTACTAATTGGAAGGAAGTCAGCGTAGATCCAGTGAAATATAGTCTGTGCAGCGTTGTTTCAAGTAGAAAGTTGAGAAGAGAAAAAAAAAAATATCACTTCAATCTAGGAAAATAATGTGTTTTCTCTAGTAGTATTGAAGAAAAAATTCTGGTTCATGAGGAAAGTCTCCCAACTAATACAAAATATTTGAGTCAAGACTACGTGCATTACGTAGAATCAAATAAACTATGAATACTCTGAAAATAGTTTATATTCATAGCTTATTGCTGCTAAAATATTGTACTTTTCAAGGGGGAAAAGCAGATTCCGTCTATCCTGGATACGGTGACAATCCAGAGGATACGATTACGATACAGCCGATACCCTCACGATACGTTGCAGATACCAAGGATACGAGTTCATTCAATTGAGATATTCAGAGTGTGTAGGATAGATCCTATGCAACTATGGTGAGCCAGTGGTAATGAAGAATTTCAGCCAATTTCAAAGTATTTGCGATGTGGTTTGTCATTTATCCAATCATGAATACATCGTTTTATAAAGCGAAATAGATTTAATATAAGAGACATAACAATTCTAATAATATAGTATCAAATAAATCTACATATTGAAGGCTTATTTACTCTGTGCAAAATATTTGACAGGTTCAATAGTTCTATGAACCAGTCCACAACACGAAAGACAGAATTTGTTATCAATCAAATTCTTAGGCTTTGTTAAGTTCAAAATACTTCCAGAAAACAATTTTAAGACTAAAAACTATCGTTCTATAGTTGAGGTATTCAAATCTTTTTAGAACGGAACTGTAAAAGCGATATTTTTATGATTATGTCTACATGCATATCTCAACAAAAATGCATGTTTAACTGGAAATATTCCATATGCATTTTAAGTTGATATGTTTACCGTACAACGATGTGTTCAGATGAATGAGAACTAACTAGATAAATTGATCAGTACTACCAGGTATACAAGGAAATGATCATTTTTTAGGTGTTTTGTGGATGCATATGTCTGGTAACTAGATCACGTGACAAACCTGAAATTGCAGTCATAAAGAGAAGTTGTTAAAAACTTCCTGTGGCAGAAAACGTGGCTTTTTAGATAGTTTTTAGAACCCATGAAACTGTTCGAAAAATCATGATTTCAATAAAAGACACGGTTTTTAAATGACTTTCGAATGAGATGTGATGGAGTAATTTTCTAATCTCATCAAATTTTTTTTCTTTTTAATAGCAGAGAATAAGTTTTTTTTTCTTTGAAATCTGGTTTCAGTCAGTACTTTAAAGAATTACTGACTAATAAAATTTGTTATAACCTCATTGTTTATCTTATTTCTTCAAGACAGATATGTTGGTTTCTGATTTTCTTTTACTAGATTTCATAAGATATTTTCAAATCTCTTTTCAGAAGTTCAAATAATGAGACCTAAAGCTTTTTCTTCATATTTCTATATAGTTCATAAGAGTTTATATTTTTAACGTATTCCTGCATAGTTTTTGATTGTATCAATGAAGAGACTGGGCTATAAAGAACTTTCAGTTCAAATCAATATTTTATAACCGTCCAATAAAAATGAAGTAATTGGTATCTAGTAGATTCTGGTAGCTTCGAATGTTATAGATTTCAAAAGAATTCGTAAATATCTAAAATTCACTAAAATCCGCCATAGTACATGAAAAAATGTCTATTAATTCTTGACAGTGGGAAAATCTAGCAAAAAACACTAGAAATTGATAATTCATAATAAAAAACTACGCTATAGAGGAAACTCTTATTACGTTCTATTATGTAAAGATATGAAAACGAAATCCTCTGATCACAAAAATAGATTATAAGTTCCAATGGAATCGATTAAGTTTATATTATATAGATTTTGAGGAATTCACTACTATTGCAGTCGCGAGATTTCGTCAAAATTCTAATACTCTAGATTCTCTATTTGATTTCGGGAGAAACCAATAAAATGTATGTGATTAGTATAATACTTTGATATCGAATAAATCGATTGCAAAATGTACGAACAGAATGGACTCAATTGCTTAAATGAAAAATCGTAGGAATCGATTCTAGATTTGAAATCTTTTTAGTAGACGAGTTGTTCCATAGGACACTTTTGTGATCCCATTGGGAACTCTGACTCTAACGTACACACTGAGCTTTAGAAAGCAATTCAAATATTGACCTGGAATCTTTCAGAATGTTCCCTTGGATCTAACTGAACGATAGTTAACAATAACTAATTTGCTGTAGTAGAATATGCTTTGATTGTTTTAAAAATTCATAGAAAAGCTTTATCATGTAAAGTGAACTTCGTCCGGTATTACGCGATAACTGAATATCTATCCCACTCCATAAAAAACTTTTAAAAGTCATAAAATATTCTTTTTGAAAGCTTCTTGTGCGCCTTGTGGTCCGTATAGCGAACAAGAATTTACGAAAAATTCGTGTCTTCCTACGGGAGTTTTCGAAATTTTTTTTCTTTTTGTCTTCAAAGGACTCTTTATGGAAATCTATAGAAGACTGTATCCTGATTTCTGCAGAATAAAATCTATAGCACTTTATGTAATCTTTCTATTAATTTTCGAATCGATTCGATTATATTTTCTATGGCTCATGAGTTAGTTATCACCAT